CGCACACGCCACGTACACGCCACGTACATGCCACGTACATGCCACGCACACGCCACACACACGCCATGCAAGGCCATACACGCCACGCGCACGCCATGCACACGCCACGCACACGCCACGCACACACCATGCACACGCCACGTACACACCACGCAAGGCCACACACACGCCACACACACACCACGCAAGGCCACACGCATGCCACGCAAGGCCACGCAAGGCTACGCACAGGCCAGCCCACGCGACCCCCACGACGTGTGCAGATGGCTGGGTCATATGTCGTTACAAATTTTTTCCTAAGGGGAAAAATGTCATACCACGTAGAGTACTTTAAAGTCCATAGCTGTGCAGACAATGAGCGAATATTAAGTAACAATGTATCTTTAAACACTATCAGATTTAACTTTAGAGGGTTTTCAGATCTGAGCTCCTGATGGAGCTAATAAATTACTAACGCCCAGAAAACCTGTGGCGACCACCTGCAGGTCGGACTCGGCCCCCAGCCCGACAGGCGTCCTGCGTGGAACCTGGGATCGTGGATTGAAATGTGTTCCTCTGGCTTTTTTTCCCCCCCTAAAGAGACGCAAAGATCGCGTCTAGCGAGCACATGAGGGCTGGAGGGAGCGAGGAGATGGCCTGGCTGCAGATCTGCGAGCCCACCGAGAAGGACAAAGGAAAATACACCTTCGAGATCTTTGACGGCAAAGAGAATCATCAGCGCTCGCTGGACCTGTCAGGCGCAGGTGAGTCGGCTCCTGTCCGGACCTCGGAGTCCGCCCTCAGCGATCGATTCCACTGCGGAGAGGGAGACGGGCTGATTTCGCGATTTTCATTCAGAGAAAATTATTTCCGGAAAGTCAATTTATTCGTTTGGCTACTTGTCAGTTTTCATTAAGCAAATTCAGGAGTGAATGAATAAAAATGGAACACGTCGAAACCGTTAATAAGTATGAAATATTTCCTTACAGCGTTCGACGAAGCACTCGCCGAATTCCAGCAACTCAAGTAAGATTCGCACGTCTGGCTGGGATTGTCCTGTGAAGGGGGCAGTGGAGCTGTAGGCATTTCGGCTGAGTGTGGGGACATCTGCGGGCGCCTGGGGGACCCAAGGCTTGTGCCCGGCCTAGGAACTGGCATAAAAATGGCAGTTTAAGCAATTCCATGTGTCGAAGGGCAGGCATTCTTCTAAGCTACAAACGTATTACACATCAACTTTCTAGACTCATCATGACCCTGGGTGATTTAAAGGATTAAAATGATACATTTCTGAAATAGTTATCGTTATGGTGACACATTATACAGAGAAATTTTAAAGAAGGTGACATATTTAGGTTCTTCTCAGATGTTATTTTTTTAGAGAGGTTTTAGGTTCACAGCAAAACTGGGCAGAAGCTGCAGAGAGCTCCCGCCCCCGGCCCCCCACCAACACCCCAGCAGGTGGCAATGCTTCTTCACAGCCGAAGAA